TGCCCATAAGATTGTCAGCTGATTTCTCAACACAACGTATGCAGGCCAGAAGGGAGTGGGAAGAAATATTCAAAGTGATGAATAGCAAGAACCTACAACCAAGATTACTTTACCCAGCAAAGCTATCATTCAGAATTGAAGGTCAGATAAAGAGCTTCACAGATAAGAAAAAGCTAAAGGAGTTCATCACCACAAAACCAGTATTATATGAAATGCTGAAAGGTATTCTTTAAGAAGAGGAAGAAGAAGAAAAAGGTAAAGATAAAAATTATGAACAACAAGTACATATCTATCAACAAGTGAATCTAAAAATCAAGTGAATAAAAAATCTGATGAACAGAATAAACTGGTGAATATAATAGAATCAGGGGCATAGGAAGGGAGTGGACTGACAATTCTCGGGTGGAAAGGGGTGTGGGGGGTGCAGAAAGAGACAAAAATCGTACACCTATGGATGAGGACAGTGGGGGGCAGGTAAGGGCAGAGAGGGTGGGTTGGGAACCGGGTGAAGGAGAGCTATGGGGGGAAAAAAGAGGAACAACTGTAATAATCTGAACAATAAAGATTTAATTAAAAAATAAAATAAAATAAAATGTGAACTGTTTATTTCTAGAATTTTCCATTTAATATGTTCAGACCATGATTGATCACCAGTAACTGAAACCATGGAAAGCAAGACCACAGATAAGGAGGCACTAATGTAATATTCTGTATTTCTCAGGAGCCATTTGATTTTCCTTTAAAAATGTTACATATCTCTGCTGGGATCCGTTACCTTCTAAGATTGTATAAAGTATGGTTAGAGGATGGGGGTAGAAGTTTGAATCTCTAATATTCTACCTGCTTTTACCCTCTATGGCCATCACTTTCTACATCAGCAAAATGGGAGTAACAATATTTTCCTTAAAAGGTTTTTAAGGTCTAAAATAAGAAAATATATTTTGTGTGCTTTGAGCAGTGAGTGGCTATTTTCAGTACCAAGTAGGGAGGAGAACCCTGCAGTGCCATTTTGAAGCGTTTGAACCCGGAGAAAGAATATCTGCCAACGAAGGCTCATTGTGATTAATTGGGCCCAAATTCATAACCAGAATCTAACAGCCACTGATTACAGAGGGCTCTCACACATACGACACGTCAGGGGAAAGCCATAGACTGAGCTGCCAAGCTTCCTGCACGGAGCTCCTGCCCTCACTTCATAAAGAAACTCCTGGTATTGTATTTGGACCAATGGGACTAAGATCTTCCCGTCCAATTGGAGCTGTGCAGCCATATCCTCATTTGCATAAGTTACTAACCAAGCAGAGCAGCTCCACAACAACCAACCAGCCTGTGTGAGCTGGCCAAACAGAACAGGGCAATTTGGAACAAAACTGTGTGACTTTGGAGTCCTCATTTGCATAGAAATGGACCAATCAGGGACACAGACAAGAACTTCTTTCTATATAAGCCAGCGTCCCCTGTTAGGATGGGGTGCATTTTCCACTGCATTTCCCCAGCTTGCACACTGTAAAGCTTGAACTGCAACATTAGAGCTATAATATAACAGCTGGCAACACCAGACCTGTAATATAGGCTACTTTACTACTTCATTTGAGCAGTTTAGCTTGAGCTGCTTCACTTGAGCTGATTCTCTGGAAACCTTTCACTCAAAAGTTTCTCCCTTCACCACACCCCAGACTGGGGACTCCTCTTTTAGCACTGAATAGGTAGCAGTGAATTTTGCTTGACAAAAGTTTATCTGTGTATGTGAATAGGTGATTAAATAGAAAAGGGTTTCAGAGAAAACTGTTGTCCTTGCCATGATTATAGATTCTAGAAAATTAATAAAGTGAGCAAACACCAAAAAATGTGTTTGGCTGTGTAAAAATAACCAATTACAGTAATTTATGTAAACAGCTTAGCATTTAAGGTCTAATTATCATGCAGCACAACAATTACACATATCATTAAATATGCATCAGATTAACCTTGTTAGTTTCAATTACAATAGTAAAGAACTTGTTCTGTACTGTGAGGAATAGTCTTATAGTTAATTGATCATAATATATGTCTGTTCACTATTTACATTAATTAAATGGGATGGAGCTCCTGAGTTTGTTCTGCATTCAAGGTAAGTCAGGATTAATTGTCCTTGATTACAACTATGCATTTGCCCTATGACCTGTGAGATAATGTACATTCTCATTACTTTTTTGTTTTGTTTTATTGATTTTTATTGATTTAAGAGAGGTCTGATGCACAAAATTCATGCAAGGGGCTCAGCCCAGCCGCCACCGCAGTGGCTGCCTTGGCCCCCACCGCCGCAGCTTCGCCCAGAAGGTTGTCTGAAAGGACGTCTGGAGGGACATCCAGTCTAATTAGCATATTGCCCTTTTATTATTATAGACAGACAGGAAGGGGGAGGGGACGAGAGAAACATCAATGTGAGAGTGTAACATCAACCGGCTGCCTCTGACACACCCCCAGCCCACAACCTGGGCATATGCCCCAACCAGGAATTGAACCAGCAACCCTTCAGTGCACAGGAGGGTGCCCAACCAAGGGAGCCATACTGGCCACGGCTCACTCTAATAGTTTTGTAGTGAAAAAGGTACTAAAGAGACAGGGAGCAAAAGAAATTCTGTTTAATTGCTTGGTGCTCTGTTCTGGATATGTTTATTGATTTTAGACAGAGGGAAAGGGAGAGAGAGAGAAAAATTGATGTGAGAGAGAAACATTTATGGTGCCTCCTGTACCCAACTGGTGAATAAACCCACAACCCACAATCTAGAACAACTCCTAAACAAGCCCCAAGGTTATTTCATGGAACATTTATAGAATTAAAATTACCATTATAATTTATTTGTCTACCACCATGAATTAGGTACTACACATACATCATCATAAAACTCTTATTAAGTATCCTATTTTTCATTTTACATATGAGAAAAGAGGCACAGATAATAACTTGCCTAAATTCTTAAAGGTAGTAAAAGCTGGTGACAGGATTCAGATTAAGGAAAGTCCATGCTTTTTAAATTATATTAAACTGTGTCAGGTTCCTTACAAATCATAATTCAAACATTAGGCACTTGCTGGTTGCAAAGAATATAAACTGCCTGTCATCGAATGATGCAAAATATTTTCGGAGCCTGTTTGACAGTCAGAAGGTGGAGGCCCAGTATAGTAGGCTGAAAAGTATGTAGCTAGGCTGCCGAGTAGGCATTTTAAAGTTTTCTGATAAACAGAAGTCACTCAGCAACAATACATTCCTAGTTTTCCTAACTTTTTGGATTCTACCCAAAGCCTGATGAATCATGACACTGACATCCTGCACTTTTTGTAGATCAAAAGCAGTCAGTGAGATAGGAAGAGGCAGAAGAAATGGGGAAGCAAAGGTTTAGATTCATGCAAACTCTGTGTAATGGCCATAGCATTATGTATATCTTGATTTCTAACTTCCATTTTAACTAGTCAGAGGAAGTTTATTAGTTACACTTGGACAGATCTGCTTTTTCTTTTCTAGCCCCAAAGAGCCCAACCCAATCCCAAAGGGCTAAGGCTAGCCCCTAAGCAGTACCTGTTCTTCCAGCAGGCCCAAGGAACTTAGCCTCAATGGGTCAGAGTGATTCCCCCAGGCATCTCTGGACAGGTATGATTTTAATTCTAGTTGTGCTACCTGGTAACATTGCTTGGTGTTCTGTTCTGGAAACCTACCTATTTCTAGTTGACAACTGCTGATTTAAATAATGACAAAATTCTAATGCTGAGCACTGGCCAATCTAACCTAGAACAACTTTTTTTTTTTTTTTTAAATCTTCACTGGAGGATATGTTTATCATGTAAGTGATTTTACCTCTTTGAGACTCATTTTTCCTTATTTGTAAAGTAGGTTGCAGCAGGGCTCTTATGCAGAAAAAATTTTCTCCCTCTTGTTCACCTTTGAGATCTTTAGGACCGTCCTACTTATGCAGAAGCATCCCCAGACAGGTCTCACGGTGTGGAGAAATGGCTATAGGTAAATCTTACATTTCTTCTTTTAAAAATATATATATATATTATTGATTTTTTACATAGAGGAAGGGAGAGGGATAGAGAGTTAGAAACACCAATGAGAGAGAAACATCGATCAGCTGCCTCCTGCATGCCCCCTACTGGGGATGTGCCCGCAACCAAGGTACATGCCCTTGACTGGAATCGAACCTGGGACCCTTCAGTCTGCAGGCCGACGCTCTATCCACTGAGCCAAACCGGTTAGGGCAAACCTTACATTTCTTTAGGTATATTAACAGAGGTGCCTCAACCCCTCCTCTGCAGACTGGTCATAGTTTGGGTGGATCAAATTAAATAAGCACTCTAGGAATCTCCTGGAAGGAAAAGGATTCTCTAATTCCTTTGACTAGGGTGGCCACAAAGAGACAAAGAGAGAGAGGCATAGAGTGATGGGGGAGGCGAACAGGAGGGAGGATGGCAATGCTCCTGATGAAGAGGCTGTAGCAGAGGCTAAGGAGGAACCAATCCTGAACTAGGCCTTGAGAACTTACATCCTCGAGGCTCAGGCCTTTTGTGGGGTGAAGCCCTCTTTACTGAGTGCATCACAGAAAGACTCCGTGACTTGAAGAACCTTTGTAATTGGCAAAGGGCTGGGCCAGGACTGGAATCTCTGGCTAATTTACATTGACTGGGTATATCTCAGAGTTTAAAGGGGAGGAAGTTGAAACCTAGAAGGCATAGCTAGACTTTTAGACTTTCTGTTTTTATCTATGTGTATACTAAACTATAAAGAGCCACCTCAGCTCTAGCAGGTGTTCTCAGTGGTTAGAGCATCAGCTTGTGCACCAAAGGGTGGAGGGGTTGATTCCTGATAAGGGCACCCTGATCGGGATGCATGCCGGAAACAAATGATGGATGTGTCTCTCTCTCTCTCCTCACTCCTCCTCCCTTCCACTCTCTCTAAAAATCAGTGAAGATTAGCAACAACAACAAATAAAACACAAAAAGCCACCTCAGTTTATAGGAAGAACATTAGATGAAATAAAGTTTATAAAGTTCTTTCAGCACTCTGGCCATAGTAAGTATTAAAAATGGTAGAGAATCATTTCCATAGGGAGGGAGGGAAGCTCAGACACTACACTTTTGGTTCCAATCACTGAAGCTTAGTAGTTGAAGAGTTGTTGGCATATTCTGGACTTAGTCAATGGCAGTCACATCACAGAGCCTGACAGTATGATACAATTTTCCTTGTTGGGTTTCAAAGTCAATTTCTTAAATTAGTTATGAATAAAAGGGCTTGGAGAATGTGCTAAGTCCTGAAGTTCAGTTTTCCAAAATATTAGCCCAACATGGACTAATCTTGGATATTATTAAATTTCAACTTAGAAAGGATAAAAGGTGTTTTTTCAGGTTCCTTTATACATGTTTAGTGAGGGGAACAAGACAGTTATCTCTGCTATGACAGGTTAAATACAAGCTGCCCTGGAAGCATGTAAAGGGTCCACTTAACTCAGACTTGGGGCCAGGAGAGGTGTTCCTGAGGAAGTGATGTTTCGGTTGAAGTGGAGGTACCTTGGTAAAGGAAGCTTGGAAGGAACAGAGTGCATAAGAAAAGCTGAGATGCTTCTGTCTGGCTGGAGAATGAAATGTGAGATGGGGCAGTGATGACAGAAATAGGAAGACACTAGGCCCTGAAGGGCCTTCTACAAAGAGTGACCATATAATTTACTAGAGGCCCAGTGCACGAGATTTGTGCATGGAGGCATGAAGGGGCGGGGTAGGGGGCAGGGGGTCCCTCAGCCCGGCCTGTGCCCTCTCGCAGTCTGGGAGCCCTCGGGGGATGTCCCTCCACCTCTGCTGTGTTTGCCAGTCTTGAGACAGCTCTGGCTGAGCAGTGTTCCCCTTGTGGGAGCGCACTAACCACCAGGGGACAGCTCCTGCATTGAGCGTCTGCCCCCTGGTGGTCAGTGCACGTAATAGCGATCGGTTGTGCGGCCGTTCAGTTGATTTGCATGTTACCCTTTTATTATATAGGATTGTACAGACTGAGACACTTCTGAGAGTGAAATGAGACAATATTACTAATTATATGGGGACAATAGTAGGAGTAAACCAGGACTGTCCTGAGCAAATCGGAACTTATGGTCACCCTACTCGTAAGCCACGTTCAGGTGCTTGAACCTCCAGTGAAAGCAAAGATTGGATATCTTCTCTGTTTACCTTATACATTTTGCCTGAGTGACTTCATCCATACCTTTGCCTTTACTTGCTCATTTCACAAATATTCATCCAGGATGCACTTCTGGGCACTGAGGTCACAAAGAAGAAAAGACACAGTGTCTGTCCTCAAGCTCTGTCTAAAGAAGACACATATTCCAAGAAACAATTCTCATACAATTATACAATTTTAGTCCTGGCCTCTCCTCTGAGCTCTAAACTCATATATGTCATTTTCACTCCGATTATCACAAAACACAGATTTGAAAAATAACTTTTATTTTCCTCCAAATCTCTGTTCCTCATCAGTGCTAGCCTTCTCACTGTGCATTTCCATTTCTCCATATCTTTCTTAAGCACAATGTCTAAACGGGGGCTTAGAATTCTGATGAGGGCCTAACGTCAATTGAAGAGGAAGGGTAATTTTCAGGTGTTGAAATGCAATGTTTTTAATGAATAGATCCCAGTATTATGTGGGACTGTTTTTCCACAACTGTACATTAATAATTCATATTCAGATTGTTGACAACCATGACATCCAGATCTGGACATATGCCCTCGCCAGGCAGTTTAGGTGAAAAAGACATGAAGGTAAGTCCTAAGTGTTTGACCCTATCTCCTCTTTGTGGAGAATGTGAGAGTGGTTGCAAAGGTGTAGGTGAAACACCCATGTAATAATAAGCTATCTGTTGAACAATTGCTGTGTAAAAAGGGCAATTCCTGCTTTAAAGGGCAATTTTAATGTTTCCACACAGCTTCCAGAGTAATTCTCCACACAGCTTCCAGAGTAATCCTTTTAAAGCAAATCTGATTACTCCTTGGCTCTCAACCCTACCACTGTATTCTATCATGTCCCAATAAAATCCAAGTCCAACCAAATCCAAAGTCAGATGATACATGATCGGGCTTCTGCCTGTTTCACACCTTATTTCTCTAATTTGGTGTGCTCCAGCCATATGGTCTCCTTGCTGCTTCTCCAACATGCCAACCAAGCCCCTATCTTAGGGCCACTGCCAATGGCCATTTCTCTTCCCCTAGAATAGATTCCCTCTAGAAATCCACATAGCTGCCTCCCTCATTTAATGACTAGATTTCTACCTATGTGCTCTTCCCTTAGGAGGCCTTCTTTGTCTATCCTATCTAAAAGAGCATTCCCCATATCCTTCCTGGCCCTTTATCCTGATTTTTCCCCCCATAAAACTTGACACATCACTGGACATTATCTTTATTTAGCAATATATTCTGTTACTAGAAGCTCAGTGCACGAATTCGTGCACCAGTGGGGTCCCTCAGCCTGGCTGGTGGGATTGGGCCAAAACCAGCTCTCCGACATCCCCAAGGGGTCCCAGATTGTGAGAGGGCGCAGGCCAGGCTGAGGGACCCCACTAGTGCACGATCGGGCCAGGGAGGAAAGTGGGAAGTTGGCCAGCTGGGGAGGGATCGCGGGAGGGCTCCAGGGTGTGTCCAGCTAGTCTTGCTCAGGATGATCGGCCAGACCCCAGCAGCAAACTAACCTATTGGTTGGAGCATCTGCCCCCTGGTGGTCAGTGCACGTCACAGCAAGTGGTTGAGCAGCCTTAGCATATTATTAGCATATTACGCTTTGATTGGTTGAATGGCTGACCAGAAACTTAGCATATTAGGCTTTTATTATATCGGACTGCTTATTGTCATCCTCCCTCACTATTATAAGAGGCAGACTTTATTTTGTTCACTGCTGAATTCCTAGCACCCAGAACATGTCTGCTCATTAAATATTTGTTGAGTGAATAAATAGGTTTTCAGGATACAACAAATGCAAAACGACTCTATATTTATTGATGCACAGGAAAATGTCTGCAAAGTATATAGCAAAATGTTAACTAACATTCGAGAGCTGCTTTTCACAATCTTTTTGCTGATTTTTTTTTTTACAATGAACTTGTCTCTTACATACTAAAAAATGAATAAAAAAGCCTCATAGGCCGTGTAAATGAATTCTAAAAGAGGTTAGGCAAATTTACGAAAGACAAACTTCTAAACAGATGTACCAGCCTAATGGTTAAGACAGACCACAGTTTGAATCTCCTTGGCCAACACTTTGTAGCAGTGTGATCCCAAGTTATTTATAAACCAGAGTCTAAATGTCTTCACCTGGAATCACAACGTTGTGTTGGAAGATTAAATGAGACCACGCACGTAACCTCCTCTGTCCAATGCCTGGCATGCAATACATACTCGACATAGGGTGGCTATGATAAGAATTAGCAATAACAAGAGTTAGGACATACCTAGCCCTCAAGATTGACATCAGAGCGGACCACCACATCCTCTCATCACTGCGCCTCAATCTGGGCCTCTGAAGCCCCAAGACGGGCTGGTTCTCTCCAGAGGAGATAACGTCGGCCGTCCAGAAGCATCGGAATACAACGTGCCCCGCACACCCTTAAACCATTCAGTCTGGAAAATCCATGAGCAGCTCTCCAGCACCCGGATTCCAGAGGCGGACACCGAGTCCCTTAGCCTCAATATCCTTCGCTGCTGCAACAGGGTGTGAGAATGTTAAAAAACACAAAAGCAGGGCAGGACCGGCCCGCCCCGCCGCACGGGGGGCGCTCCGGAGGGGCTCACTCGTCACTCCGCCCCGGCGAGCCTCTGCTGACCCGCAACGCACCTCCCGGGAAAAGTCATTGCCGGTCGGACTCAAAGTCAGGCCAGCGGCTCCCGCGCGTCCTCCCAGGCCTCGGCCAGAGAGAGGGCAGCAGCGGGCTCGCGGGAAGACCCGGGCGCCGGCCCGGACGGTAGCAAAGGCGCGCAGTACGCGAAGGCCCCGGAGGGAAAGGGGCGGAGCCGGCGGGCGCGCGGCGGCGCGAGGGGGTGGGGCGAGCTCGCGCTTGCGCCGCTCGGGAGCGAGCGCGCAGCCCAGGGGCGCGCACGTGGCTGGCTGCTCCTCGGCGTGAAGCAGGGGGACTCGGCGAGGTGAGGCACGCGGCGCTGCGGGACGGCGGCGGTGGGCTCGAGCCTCTCTAGCGGGACGTGAAAGAAGGGAGGAGCGCCAGGTCCCGTGGGGGTTCGGGTTGGGGCGGGCCCCGAGACGGGAAGACGCGCACGGAGCGGGCCGGAGGCGTCCGGCCACGTGCGCGTCGGGGAGGGCGGGGCGGGGCGTGACCCATCAGGCCCCGCCCCTGGGTCAGGCCCCGCCCCTCGGCGACCCTGGCGTGTCTTGCACGCCGGGCGGCTGCGCGGCGTCTCCCACTCTGCATTCCCGTCTCTGCAGTGCAGCGCAGCGCAACCCGGCTCAGGGCAGTCGGTGTGGGTCACGCCCCTACCCACGTTTCCCAGTGGGTTTTCACGTAGGCCTTCCGCAGACAGTAGGCACTTGGGCTTCCTTATTTGCGGCTCAGGCTGACTGATGCGCCGGGAAATGACTTGCCCGAGGTCCTACGGCTCATCAGGAACTGCGGGAGGATTTGACCCTTGTCTGCAAAACCGCACAGCCCGCACCCGGCCTCTGCACCGCGCTGAGTGCTGCTTTTCGCGTGCCTCCCGTCCTCCCCGTGACCTGTTTGAATTTGGCAGATGTGGATTTGGAGGCAGCACACACCCTTTCATGGGTGTTAGTGTCAGAACTGTCTCTGAGAAGAAGAAAGAAGATTCTGTTGATTGAAATAGTGCTGCTTATGACGTCGAGTGTTTATACATCCTTAACGTGACCCTCTCCCTTAGCCTCTGTGGAAATGGCGCCGCTGTTGGCTGCCTGAAAGACATTGCAATACAAGTAGCAACCTTTCAGGGCTTCCTTTCCTTTGAAACAGCATGGTGCCTCAGAGGGTTCAAAGAAATAATCCACGGACAGTGGTACCACAATACCTGGCATATGAGAAAAGTTCAGTACATGTTGGTCATGATTGTATGGCCACGTGCGTAATACCCCTTGCTAAATTCATTTTTCTTCAAAGACTAACTTTTTTTCCGGAGACTAAAGCAGAGGGAGAATTAGTCTACCCTGGCCCACCCCCCCAAAAAGACATTGACTAGTATTTGTCTATTACATTTGTGTTTACTGAGTTCTTTCCGTGTGCTTGGTACTTTTAAAGCATATCAATTGGTATTGGGTGTAGTCCCTGCTTTTATTTCGTCTAAAAATTGGGGGGAATATGCATGCAGAAATAATCCTCACAAATTAGAATGTGAAAAACACCACAAAAGAGGTAAAAACTAGGAGAGTATAGAAGAAGGTGGGATGTGGGGTTTTTTTTGTTTTTGTTACTTTTAATCCACAGTGACTTTTTAAAAAAATATTATTTTACTGGTTTTAGAGAGAGAGGAAGGGAGGAAGAGAGAGAGAGAAACATTGATGAGTGAGATGAGCAAGAAACGCCAATTCTGGGGATGGAGCCTGAAACCTGGGCATGTGCCCTGACTGGGAGTCGAACTGGTGACCTCTTGGTGCATGGGTCAATGCTCAACCAGTGAGCTACACTGTCTGAGCTATTTTCTTGCTTTAGTGTGAAATATGATTTCATTTCTGCCTTTAGGAAGAAACTGTGTACATTGGACATACCTATTGAATATTTATTCAAAGAGTAAATTACTGAACAAATGTATGTTCTAATAGATAGGATTCCTTGGTTTCTAGCAACAGATCTCATTCAGATTTAAGTATTGGAAAGATGGAGAAATAAGAAAAAAAACAACAACTATGCCCTAACCGGTTTGGCTCAGTGGATAGAGCATCGGCCTGTGGACTCAAAGGTCCCAGGTTCAATTCCAGTCAAGGGCATGTACCTTGGTTTCGGGCACATACCCAGTGGGGAGTGTGCAGGAGGCAGCTTCTCGATGTTTCTCTCTCATCGATGTTTCTAACTCTCTATCTCTCTCCCTTCCTCTCTGTAAAATATCAACAATATATATTAAAAAAAAAATAAGAAAAAAAATAAAATAATTGGGCCACCTTTGGAGATGGGGATCTCAATAGCCAGAGCTCATGGACCAAATATTTGATTAATGAATGTTTGAGCTCCAACTGCCTTCTGTCCTTGTATGTCAGATTCAGATTTTTCTAAGAAGAGATCTGGTTGCTTTAGCTATTGTGAGGGTAGAGAAGGACGTATTTCAATTGGCAACCCCACTGAACCATATGAAATGTCTGAGAGTCAGTTTCCCAAAGGAAGGGGGCTAAGGAGAGGAGAAAACCAATAGTTGTCTATTAGAACTATGAGGTTTTGTAGAGGGCTTACTATGGGCTGGGCACCATGGTACATAATTTACATGGATTTTGATAGTTAATCCTTACAACACCTCTAGGAGGTAGAAACTATTATAATCATACCCATTTTATTGGAGGGGAAACAGGATTATAGAGATAAAATATTTGCTTAATGTTACAGAACTCGGATGTAGTAGAGTTGAGTACATTGCATTATTTTCTCTTCATCTTGTCCCTTTGAATTATTTCCTGATCCATGTGCAACTTTGTTTGTTCATAGGGGGTCATCAAACTTTGGTGTGTGTTGGCCAGTTCCGAAATCTCCTTGAAGGGGCACTGCATTGAGGAAGATCAAAGCAGCAGTCTTTGCCAATTAAGGAATGGACCGTTTGGGTTCCTTTAGCAGTAAGTACTGTGTGAACAAGTCTCAGGTGAATATTAATAGCAAACTGAAGTAGGAGTTGATCAAAGAGGAAAAATAAGCACTTTGAAGTTAAACAAAGCCCCTGTGAATCTGATCCTAAAGGAATAAGAGTATCAACTCAAAGTAAAATCAATTAATATTTATTGATTGCCCACTGAACATATAACACAAACATATCACCCTAGATCTTATAAGAAAACTAAGATCAAATGGACCAAACATAGTATGTTTAACCTGCAGATGGATTTATTTTATTTTATTTACTTTATTTTATCTTTGTTGTTTTATTTATTTTTTTATTTTTATTTTTTACTGATTTCAGAGAGGAAGGAAGAGGGAGAGAGAGATAGAGACATCAATGATGAAAGAGAATCATTGATTGGCTGCTTCCTGCATGCCGCCTACTGGGGACCGAACTTACAACCTGGGCATGTGCCCTGACCAGGAATCCAACCATGATCTCATGGTTCATAGGTTGATGCTCAACCGCTGAGCCACACCGACTGGGCTGGATGGATTTCTTTAAAAAGCAGATGGATTCCCAGTAACACATTTGTGATGCCTTGATAAGAAATGATGTTTGGTAGAAAAAAGGAAATACCCTTCTCCCTGCAACCCGGCATGTGCCCTTGACTGGGACTTTTCAGTGCATGGGACAGTGCCCAACCAACAGAGCCACACTGGCCAGGGCCCTTCTCAATTTTTAAAAGTTCTTTGTAATATTAGGGATTTTAGCCCTTTATGATATGTTTGCAGATACTTTCAATTTATTAGCTTTTTTACTTTGCTTCTGGTGTTTTTTGCCAAGAAAGAGTTTTTTGTTTGTTGGCTTTGTTTATGCACTCAAATTTATTAACCTTTTCCTCCCTTGGATTTTGAATGACGATAAAAAAGCCTTTCCCTACTCATAAGTTATAGAAAAGTTTTCTATTCCTAGTTTATAAAAAAAAATGTACCTTTGTGAAGGACACTTTGACTATATATATCAAAAATGCTCTGTATACCAGTTTTAATTCTAGGAAAATACATATCCTAAGGAACAAAATGTGAAAAGTTATATATACAAGAACATTAATCTCAGCATTCTTTATAATAGTAAAAAGTTGGAAACGATTATTATAAATGTCCACCAATTGGGAACTGTGTAAATTAGTTGTTCTCAACCTTATGAGACCCAGTGATATATATTTTTTAAATATATTTTATTGATTTTTTACAGAGGAAGGGAGAGGGATAGAGTTAGAAACATCCACGAGAGAGAAACATCGATCAGCTTCCTCCTGCACACCCCCTTCTGGGGATTTGCCCGCAACCAAGGTACATGCCCTTGACCGGAATCGAACCTGGGACTCTTCAGTCCACAGGCCGACGCTCTAGCCACTGAGCCAAACTGGTCAGGGCCCCAGTGATATTTTTTAAATAATATTTTTAAAACCCTTTTACTATTTGGAAATTAAATACATAGATAACATATCTACAACCATGATACCAAAGAAATAAAAACAATAATGCCCTAACTATAACACAAAGGCTAAATAAAAGAGAAGTAATTAATAATGAAATAATGGAATTTATAATAAAATAATATGCATCGCAATATGTTTAGACCTGATTACAGTAGAAGACAAAATGACTTAAGTAGATGCTTGCACGCATATATTGAATCACAGCATCTTACAACTACACATGCACAATGAATGATTCATGTGTGATGTGTTGGTGACTCAAATACCACAAGCTTGAATAACTCTTGGTAAAGTTCTGAACAAAACAAGATAAAATCTCTGGAGGTACATGCAATTGCTTTTCTGGAAAATTTAATATATATTAAAACTCAAAAACATTTTGTTTTATGTAATATGGAACTGGGTTCTTGGTCATGTAATTTTGAATAGGTTTTTTTATCTACTTGAATATCTGATGGGACATTTGAAAGTTGTTCAGATACAGGCCAATTCTTTGTTGTGGAGGAATGTCTTAGGCATCTCTGGTCCCTGCCAGCTAAGTGCCAGTTGTGTTCCCTAGTCCTTGTGACAACAAAAAAGCATCTCAGATTTCCAAAATGCTTTCCTAGAGGGTAGTTGAAAACCATTAGGTTAGATAATTTATATGATGGAGCATTATTCATCCATTAAAAAAAATGAGGAAGCCTTGGCCAATGTTGGATGAACATCATCCCATGCTTCAAGAGGTCAGTGGTTCAATTCCTGGTCA